TTTGATATGTGCTGTCGCCCATTTGAAGCTTGGTCTCTCGCTTGTTGACGGGCCCGCTTTGGTTTTTAGCCATGGCCAAGTCTCTGGTGTGGGTGGCCCACACACATGTGTTTGGACTCAGAGTCAAGTCAAAGACTCGGACATGTACCTGGTGCAATTGTTGCGCCGCCGGCGCCTCAGTTTGCTCAGTCCGACTCACAGTCAAAATCCCGGACCGAACGACCCGTTCTCTGTCCAACTCGACTGCGTATTAAATTTTAAAATTGGTTTTTGTTGCGGTCGTTAAGCTTATTTCCGTATTGAAGTCTCAGTTTGCTTTGCGGTTTGAATTAATTAGCCTGCACCAACGAACTATATTTCGTTCTTTGCATATTAAAAGATACAAACCATAAGACTCGGTGTCTTTGTGTGGCCCCAAAACGCCAACGCATTCTAATCTGAATCTGAATCGGGCTCTGATGCTGATTCTGAATCCGAGTCCAAACCAAACCCGAGACAATGGTAATTATTAATAATGCAAATAATTATATTGATTTCATTCTGGGGCGTTGCCTGTGATTTGTACAAAGGTTCTCTCGTGTTCTTTTCGGTTTGCTTTGATCGCCAGTGTGGGAAAAAATATATTAAACTTCTCATTTGCCACTTGAGTTAAGAAGTTTTTCTGTTTCCATGTTCAGAAATCTCATTTTTTTTATACATATTTTTTTTTTTTTTTGGCTAATTTGCCTGCGTTGCAGTTGGTCTTTGGGGTTTTGATTAATTTGACGTCAACGAGTGCATGGCATTGGATTTATGACTTTTTAAAGTTGCTGTTGAAAATGGGTCATAAGTTATGAGTAGTAGAGTCAAAGGCTGTCAGAACAGATCTACTCTAATGACAAGAGCTGAAAGTGGCGCTGGAAGAATACAATTGATTAGTGCGAGAATATAGTAGTGTCTAATTGCACTGTCACAGTTGAAAACCCACAAGACTGAAAACCGTTCTTTTTAGATTTAAATGAAGAAACTAGCCTTTTTCTATGTTTGTTTTTCTTTGAGACTTTCTTCTTCATCTATGGGTTAACGACAAAGTTAATCTTTCTAAAGTACTCCTGCTTGCATTTAACTAATCTTGCATATGTTTAATCTAATGCTTAATCTTATGCTAACCATAACCATAATTACTATTTTCCTGGTTGTCTCACTTTAATATTTTCAACGGCTCAAATATTGCTTAATTTAAGATTGAGCTTAAGACAATAGCAAATCTCTTGCACAACTTTTTCGCTAACTTCACATAGTTCATATTAAAGTTCGATTAGATCTAAAAAATACCGAAACTGGTGCTGCGAAATAGCCATTATTAAATACTAATTTACACCCAGAGCGTTAAACAAACAACACGTAATGCTAACAGCAACAACATTAACTATAATAATTGGTATCTACATCAGGTCTCGAGTCAATCAACAGCTGCGACAAAGGCGACAGCTAAGGCTTGCGCATTGAAAATTATTAAATATTAATTACAACGAGCGGAAAACGTGCCGTGAATTAAAAATTTAAATATTTTACACAAAAAAAAAAATTGATTTCGTAAAATTAAAAATGCATTTAAAATAACATTTGGCGATAAAAGATTAATTAAACTGCCGGCGAGGAAGTTTTAGCCCGGCTCCAAGCCCCTCGGCCTTTGGCCAAGCTAAAGTACATTGTAGAATCAAGGCGTGTTAGTGGCAGCTACAAAATGCCAATTAAAATTAAATAAATGAAATCCGAGTAGCAGCAATGCTGAAATATTTTTATATTATTTTTTCTCTCTGGGCTATAAATTAATGCTCTAAACGATTTTCAGCTGCAATCGCGGCGTGGCACTTGTCACCAGTCATCTAGTTTGGGGCGGACTGGGGGTACGGCCGTCTAATTTAACCTTTGACCAAATGCCGCTACCACCAAATTGCCTGTTCCACATGTGCGTTACCCATTTGGTTATTTTTTTTTTTACATTGAGGCGTGGCAACAGCAGCAGCAGCAGCACGCGCAGCAAGTCAACGTCAAAAGACGGAAAAGTTTCAGGCTGCCGACGCGACAGTTTATTGAAAGGGAGGGCGGGATAAGGGAGTAGGCTTCGCACATAGTCCTGGGTTCTTGGTAAATCTAATATGACTTTCCCAGTCAAGATTTCGGGGCCTATAGTGTGTTTACTAATAGACAAAAGCTACCGCCAGACAAGCTACAATTCGTGACGGAATTGAGAAACAAATGAGCGCACAACGAAGTTGCAACACTCTGTCGAAGGAACCTATGGAATAACTTCAACGAAAATGAACAAATTAAACTTACTTTCATAACCATTCTGAGCAAGTAATCATAGACAGGATTCGATCTCATTCACCACGATCAGTTTGGAATTTAACATCCCCTCTTTAAATCAATATGCTTATACTCTTAAAATTTGAGTCTTGTGACATAAGTGAATGACCCAAAAGTTAGCTAGAGTGTTACAGACAACCAAAAGCAGTGCCGAAAAAATGAAACTGGAAGTTGTAGAGCGTAAGAAACTGCGTGGACGGCATTTATAATAATGCGACTTGGGCAGCACCAGGTTGACTTTGGGCAACAAAGTAAGGTGCGGCTGCGGCAGTGCGGAAAAACTGAAAATCGCTGCAACAACCAAAACAACGGCAACAACACAACACCAACAACAACAATAACAGCAACTGCAGCGGCAACGAAAATGAACTGGAAAACGCGTTTAATTGAACCAAAGCTTGATGACTGCCCACTAGCGCCATCTAGCTGCGTGCGGCTGCACTAAGCCGGCTAGGTAAAACTTGTTGTTGTCGTTGCTGTTGTTGCTGTTGCTGCTGCTGCTGCTGCTGCTGCTGCTGTTGGTGTTGTTGTGGTGGTTGACTTGTTGCTGCTGCCGTGGTAGACCCGAAATCGATGATTCATCGGGTTGTTTGTTGTTTTGAGTGGTTTTCGCCGCCCCGTCGCAAGTCTCCAATGCTCCAAAATTGCTAGACGTTTGTCGTACTTCGTTGTTGTTGTTCTTGTTGTTGTCGGCGCTTGCCGCCCGCTGTTGCTGGTGACGCAGTTGCAATTGCAGTTGCAGCTGCGCCAATTCTCCTTCGTTTGCCGTTTGGCGCTTTACGTTCAAAACAATTATTATTCTGGCAATTAATTTTGATTTAAGCAGCGATTTGATATTCCGCTCTATCCGTATCCAAGCAGCCAGCCAGTTAGCCAGCCAGCCAGCCAGCCAGCCACCCACCGATGCCCACCACCGCCACCCGCTGCTACCAGCAACAGCAGCAATCTGTTCGATGCCGGGCGCTTTGTGATTCGCCAAATTTGCGAATCAGCTGCAACTTTTGTATGCGATCGATAAATAAAGAGACACCTACGGTTCACCTACCGAGACACCGATCGATGGCATCGTTTCGACTTGTAAGCAAATGAGCATCCGCATGCAATCGTATTAGACATTGACTAACCATATATGACTCTGCTTGTTTGCACGGGGTATGATGAGGCTGAGAGTGAGGCTTTTAGTTTTAAGTTCAGTGAAGCTAACGTATTCTTTTCACTTTCTAATAAAACAATATTAAATGAGTGCGCTTTTACCCCATATTGTATAGATATTCTTCGGGAAAATGAGGTGAGTCAATCTAGACAAGTGCTTTCGCGAGAATCTCAAAAACTGCAATGGCTAGAAAAATATTTACTTTCGTATACCACACGATAAAAGAGTTTATCACAATGATAAATACGATTAATTTTTATGTTGCTTGGAGCAGTCGGTTAGCGCTGGGTTTATGGTATCTGCTATTCGGGCAATAACAACTTGAGAAGTCTTACTTGTTTCCAGGCTATTTATCCCTTGTCTTCCCCCTTCATTGTGTTTTTATTTTCATTAATCTATTGTTGTCCATACTTATGTACCCTTATTTTGAAAATTTCTTTCAGATGACTTACGGGAAATCTTCGATCAATCCCAGCTGCACAGGTAAGTGATGTGACATTATTAGAAACATTTTACAACCTATCTCGGTATTTAACGATTTTTTCTAAAATTAAAACTTTCAATTAGTTTTTAAACGCGAATTTAATCGATAATCTCAGTTATGAATTTTATATATTTTTTTCATAAACGGGAACTTATTTTGTTTATGGGTTGCCAGCATCCTCTGCCTCAAAAAATGTTGCATTTTCCTACTCTCACCCCACAAAATTGACTTGACACAAATCGTACGCCTATATAAGCTCTCGAGAAATTGTGTACACCTGGTATGATTTGAAACTTTTTGATAGAAAATAAAAATGAGCTGATCTAAAGGATACAGGATACAGTGTGAAAATACAATATTAAAGCGAGTACTTCCTGTCACGCAAAAACAATGTGGAAACAAAATATTTGAACTGACACAGGCTGTTTCCCCAGTTGTGCTGTGTCTTATTCATACCCTGAACACATTAAAATTGAGTAAAAATAAGTATATTAGTCTTGTGCAAATGCATGTAACAGGCTGCAAAAGATATTTTCGATAGTTTTATATACACAATTTTCACCAGTTCGACGCGCTTACCGTGTCCTTCTGTCCATCTGTGCCTCGTTCTACCCATCTGCCTGCATCCAGACTTCAATTTCGAAACAAATATTTTGTCTAGCATATCATTTTTTTCAATAGCTCCAGTTTTAACACCGATTTATATCAATTTGAAAACAAAGTTCTTAATGCAAACCTGGAAAATTATAAGAGTTATATGTACTCTAGCATTTGCGTAGTGACAGTGTGCTACGATATATACTCTATAGTTGAGGAATAATATTTTTAAAAGAGGGAAAAGGAAAATTTTATAATATTCTGTTGCTCCATTTCGTTTTTTCTCAGTTTTATATTTATTTTAATTCATTAAATTCTAAACATACAAGAACTTGGCTAAATGAATAAATATAGTATTTCTATATTTTTGCTCATATTTACACAAGTAGAAATGAGGAAATAAATTAAATAATATTTTAATGCAAAAATAATCATAGCTATATTTTCTATCGAGCTATAAACAATCTCGCACCATTTCGATTTGTACACAATGAGTTTCAACAATAAATATACACGTAAAAAGATTTTAACAAAACATGAGTTAACAACAAATGGCTGCTCATCTGATGCAAATCCTTGACTTGGCCCTACGAATCTTACAAAATTAAATAGTTAATATAAATAATATATATAAATTCTAACTTTTGGATACAATATATTTTCCCACACTAGAAATGATCCTAATAGGCAATAAAATTGCCTTGACTAATTTTTGGCACTGAATTACTGACTTATTTCCCTGCTTTGGCTAAACTGTATAACTGACTAATACTTGGAGGTAGCCCCAAACTATCCTACAGTTGATTGTATATAGATTAACAGATTTAAACGCTGAACTTATTTAATTTAGTATATGCCCTGTCTGACCTGCGGGGGCATTTGAAATTCGTGTGCATCCTCCTCCTCGCCGCCGCTGCTGCCCACACTGCCCGCATAGTAGAGCTGATGAGAAGACTCGTCATAGCCCTGAAGATGCTGCTGCAGCTGATGCTGATTGAAGCCCGCTGTCGCGGCGCCACCCTGTTCCGACTGGCAGCCGCTCTGCAGGTGCTTGGCCAGTAGGGACATTCGGGAGAAGGACTTGGTGCAGCTGGGGCAGGAATACTTTTTCACATCCGAGTGCGTTTGCATGTGCGCCCTCAGATTGGATCGATCCGCAAAGGCACGATTGCAGTGCTGGCAGCTGAACGGCTTTTCACCCGTGTGGGTGCGTATGTGACCCTGCAGCAGCCAGGGCCGCGAGAAGGCCTTCCCACATATGGGGCACTTGCATGGCAGCGTGTGGGTGCGGATGTGCATCTTGAGTGCGCCCAGAGACACATATGTTTTTTCGCAGTTCTTGCAGCTGAAGACCTTCTTCACCTGGTTGCCCTCCGCTGAGGGACAGTGGAACTGCTGGTGTTTGCTGAGGCCCGAGTAGGTCGAATAGGATTTGCCACAGTCCTTGCAGTGATAGCGCGGCACGCCCACCGGCTTCTGCATGGACTGCGCCGAGGCGACATTCGCTGCTTGTATGAGGGCCGAGGCCTGATCCGTGCAGAACTCGGTTTGATCCACAATGGGGCCACCGCTGGGATTGCTGCGTATGATCTTGTACTCGGTGCTCTCGTAGGCGTGGCTCTGCTGATGCTTCACGAGCCCAGCGTAGGTGGCATAGCATTTGTTGCACTGCTGGCACTGATAGTACAGATCGTTGCTGCTCTTGATTTTCAAATTCAGCTGATTTTCATGGTTCTCTTGGTTCTCTAGGTCCTCCTCCTGCTCTAGTTGATGTGGCGCGACCTTCAAGCTCTGCTGCTGCGGCAGCTGTTGCTGTGGCGCCGCTATATGCTGCATGCTGAGCAGCGCACGTGCCACATTGTGTAGGTTGACGTTCTCAGTCAGACCACGACGCTGCGGTTCCTGCTGCTGCTGCGGGGCTAGCTCTGGTCGAACACTCAAGTCCTGTGGCTCCGCTGCCAGCTGGTAGCGCTCCGGCGGCGGCGGGTGGTGCTCAGGCATTGGCAGTTTCATGCAATCCTCATACTCCGCAATGCTTTTCAGCAAGTTGTTGTTGTAGTTGCGCAAACCAAAAGGCTCCTCTGCTTGCTCTGCTTTAACTGATGCTGCGGTTACCAATGGTGGTGATATACTTGCATAGCTGGCAGCCATTTCGGTGTCACGTTCGTGCTCCGGCTCCATGACCTCGTCCTCTGGCGGTAGTTCAAAATCGCCATAGCCCAGGCGCGCCAAGCTCTTGGCAATCTCCTCCCGCGTAAAGACGTCGGGAAAGGCGCGTGCTATTTCTCGTGTCTCCTCCCAAATGCGTCGCGCTAGTTGCTCCTTGGTTTGTGTCATGGCCTCGTCGAAGCGTCGGCGAAGCTCTGTGGTTACCGGCTGTGGCTCCGGTTCCGCTTTGATCGACCATTGAGGCGGCTCTAGGGGCACCGAAGCTGCAGCCACGCTAAGGTCCACGGGTCCCTCATCTGAAGACAGCGTAAAAGAAGGAGGAGTTGGGTGTTAAGTTTGATAAGAAAACTTAAATCTCTAGAAAAAATATGGAAAGAAGCTTGTAAACCTACCATGACACAACTGATCCTCATGCGGTGGCTCCTCGACCAGTATGGGTCGCTTTTTCAGCGGGCATTTGCTGTACTTGAGTTTATCCATATTAGCCCCAGGAATCACAATTTTACGACACGAGGATCACAGCGATCTTGTTTCTTGACTCTTGTTATAAACTTAACTTTCAATCACTGGAGCTGATCATTTGCTGCGCGCACGCGTCTCGATCGTTGGCCGTTTCGTATACGAATGATGCAACCGCCGAGGATCACTTTAATTTTATATAGACTTCACAGCGCAGGATCAACCCCCAGCCAAAAGTGAAGCGCAGCAACCCCCTTGAGTGCCAAAAAGGATCTGCTACCTACTTCCGATTTCTGTCACGGAGGATTCTGTACGGAAATCAACCACCACGAGCCAACATTCAATGATCTTGCATAGCTCCGCAGTCAACCCTCCATCCCTTGCCCAGCCACGGATTGTCGCCTGCCATAACAGCTGTGCCGTTCATTGAACGTTGCTCCAGCTGCAGATCGCAGCGGCACATAGCCACCGCCAACAAATCTCTGTTCAAAAAGCGAGCACGTGCCATACACAGCACTCACACACACACACACACACACACACAGAGACACACACTCACACACCGGTTGCCGGCTCTCGTCTCTCTCCCTCTGGCACACCAGCGCAGCCGATCGCCACCAGCTGCCACTGAGATTTAATTTTATACGCTCAAATTTCCCCTACTTAATGCGTGAGTGTGCGTGTGTGTGTGTGTGTTGGTGAGCGTGAGCGGCAGCTGCGGAGCTTATATACAACTTGAAGCGCAAGTTTATTTTTAACTCACAGCGAGGTGCTGTCTCTGTCAGCGTTGACGATCGGCTGGCGAGCTTATGTACACGACGAACCACACAGACGCGACGGCAGCGCTCTGCGAGCAGGTGAGCTGCTTGACAGTCGCTCTTTGATTGTAGCAAAGAGCAGCTTAAAGCTGAAGCGTGCAGCCAATTGGCGCTCTGCATACCATTGGGCTCTCTTTGGCGCTCTTGTTTCAAATTTCAATCGTTGCGCTGCGGCTTTTTTGAAGCTCTTACAGAGCACAGCCGATACGTTCAAGCTAGTGATCTTTTTGGCCAGTTTCAGTGCTCTTGCAGGCCTTAAGCTGCTTAAATCAGCGCTCCTCCACGCACAGCTTAGCTGCAGCTTTCAATTTAATGGTCTGCGAGTGGTTTTAATCTAAGCTTTTCTACTCGATTAAACTTAAGAAAACCGCTCAGGGCTGATATTTTGATATGTCGAGAAATATTGTACTTTCAGCCAGAATTAAAGTTCTTTCAGCCTTCTAAACAGTACCCAAATACTCAACAGTTTCTGACAGGTATTCAAAAATATTAATCACTGAAACAAACAAACCGAGAATCTAAAGTAAATCAACAACCATTGTACAAAGCCTTGTCCCTCGCTCCTCCATCTAGGTGCATTATAGCAAAAACAACAATTCCCTAACGGCCGTGAAATTTTCGAAATTGTTATTGAAAATTTGTCCGCCAGCTGCCAGTTTGAGAAACCTCCACTTTGAGTCTTCCATATGTACACGCGTATCTATGGGGTGGCTGCGCCGCCGCATTTTACCTGGTCGAGCTCGGCAAGAAGTACCTTGGAATGCGCCAAGAGGTATGTGCAAAACTACCTGGCACTTTCAACGTGCTCGTGCCGCCTGTGCTGCCCCGTGCTGCAGTTGGCCCACCCCAATGGAACGCAGAGCATCACCAGCCAGCCGCCTGGTGGTTGTTGTTGCTGTGGTGGTGCTGGTGGTGGTGGTGAAACTGCAATCCGAACGTTACTTTCGAGCCAACCCTTAGCCACGAACAGCGTCTTGGCATTGATCTTGGCAGAAATCTCAGCACCACAGAGGGTTGTCCCGTGCCCCTGGCCTGCACACAGCTGCTTCTTCGACACGTACCAAGCAACTGATTTTGCAGACTAGTGATTCCAAACAGAAATTGGCGCCAAAGTCCTGTAATGAACCGGTGTGTCCTGACCGGGATAGGTGATCTCTGTTATAATAACAATACTGCGGATAGAAGACAGAACAATTCATTGTTGTGCAGATCGAATACCAATGTCCTTAAATGATTCTTCGTGAATTGATGTTAAGTGAATTTAACGACCACCCGGCATTCCAGCATGAGACAGACCGATGTCCGGAACGATTTTATATATGTCCTATTGATCGCTTGATCAACTCACCCATTAATGAAGCTTCCACCATACACGTTTTAATGCAGAAACTGTGTACTTTCTATTTGATCGCGGTCTGCAGTAATAATATTTATAGAATTAAAGAAGCTTTTAGTTGAAACGAACCAATCGGAGCCTGCTATCAGAAATATATATATATAATTTTATAAATTGAAGCACACCAAGAGCTCAATCCATAATCAAAGCATTTTTCATAAAAAAAAGCCCGGTTAAATACAAGATCGTTTTGGGAATTTCAAATAAACGGTGTCCAGCCATAAATTATTTTCTTAATATTTTGGAAATTTATAACAGAGCAAAATCTTAAACATAAATCTAGAAAACCATGGTTCAAATCGCAGCCGAAACCGAAGGATTGTTTTGTTATTATTTGTTTATTTAATTATAATAATTTTAAATTATAATTTATAGATATTTTGGTCTTTTGCTAGCTTAATTTAAAATCAACTTTGATCAATCCAACACAAAAAAACCTTGCCTAAATAATCACTTGATGTACACTTGATTGATTCATAAAGTACATCCGCGATCAGCTCAATATTATCTGTTAACATAAGATATTGTAAAGTATCTTCAAAGTTTGAGCTCTCCTTCGAAAGCCTTAAATTGGCTGCTATTCAGGCAACCTTTCTCTGTCATCTTTGACCAAGTGCAGCTCCAGTTGCTCGTCAGCAGACACCAAGGCGAGCTAACTGCACATCAGCTGGCAGCCAAACCGCAAACTGCCAACTGCAAACTATAGCTATGTGGACTCACTCTAGACTCGGCTCAGATGCAGCTGAGTGCCTCACTTCAAAGTGTCAAAGAGCCGCCAAAGTCGCATAATGAAGTGCAAAATGTCATTAATTTGCCGTTGCTGCAGCTGCAGCAGCAGCAACTGACAACAAAAGAAAGTCGCCGGATGGATAGGAAAAGTGTAAGAAAACTATGCAGAAATGCAAAACCCAATACCCAGCGCGCATGTACAGGAGGGGCAGAGTGGTGGTGGTGGTGCTGTTGCATGCCACACGCCGCCGCACAATGTCACGAGTTATAGATTTCTCAAGCCACTGAGCAAAAGAATGCGCCGACCATGGCGGCAACGCGGACTGGACGGCAATCAAAACAAGATCTTAGAACTATTGGCGCCTGATCTACAGACAAAGCGGGTGCGGGGCAGCTGGCCATAAACGTGGACGAAGAGCAGAAGGAACAACAACACAGAACAGAGCCAGAGATGGAGTTGAGTTGGAGTTGGAGACGCAGATGGAGATGGAGACCGAGATGGAGACCAATGAACAGAATGTCCAGGTCAGTGAACATAAATGACGCCGCGGTGGGCAGCAGTCTATTGAAATCTGATATTGTTATCAAAGCTAACGGTAATTATAAACAAATAAAAGCACAACAACAATAAGAGTGCTCTAGTCGCGAATGTCCGACTATAAGTTACCCTGTGTCGAGTGCTAAGCTGCTATGCATCTTTGGAACTTCGATATTTATGTTCCGATTTGAACGGAATGTTCAAAAAAGAGCGATCAAGGATCTGCCTATAAACATAATTTCTTTATAATGTGGGCGATAAAGTATTCAGCCAATATATAGATTTAATATTGTGCGTACTATGATTAAAACACCAAGTCTTACACTCGATATTTATCTATGTTAACAAGAGGAGTTACCGCGATATAATTATATTCTCGATCGACTGTTATGCACTATCATAGTCGAATCCACGGATCTGGCTAGGCTTGATCATTGAGATCGGGATGCCTGTTTCAAACATTTTCACAAAAACATGGTACGCTGTTTACCCATTTTCGATTTGTGTAGGGTATAACATCAGCAACAATCTTGTAACGTAACGAACACACAGCAGGCCCGCAACTTGGGCGACTATGTTGTCCCGCTTCCGACGCCGCATATATTAGCAAAGTTAGAAGCTACGTCTATAATTCAAACTAATTTGTTTTATTGACAGCGTGTGCGCCTTCCATATGCGTAGTCATCGATAAGGCTAACACACACACACACACACACACACACACATAGACAGACACGCACACACAAATTGGTCAATTATGAAATGAGCCAGGTCTAAAGACCCATTCGGGCCAACACAGAAAGTCTGCGGCGTGCTTCTTTAGAGGACGGGGGATTCAAGTGACAATAAATTAAATTTGTTGGCCAACTAACTAATTAAAATGCGCTTCTATAGTCGCTCGACTCTATTCTCCTCATGGCTCTTGAGATATTAATCTGCTTGGGAAGCTTACTGTCAGAGCTCTATGGGGGCATGGGGGACCACCCGCTCAGATGTTGGACTCAACATCCATCGGTAGCTCTCATCTTGACTAATACGAATTATAATTTCCAGCTGGTGATTTTATTTAATTTTGTCCATAAATGAATCACGATAATGAATTGTTTATGCGGCGAGCTTCAGTTTTTTTCAAGAGTTACGAGAGCTTCATGGGAAAAAGAGATTAACATCAACGTTTATGTTAATGCATGTTGAAATATCATAAAAATAATATAGTATTCGCCGCTTGAGCAATATTTTCGGGGCTGATTCACTTGCAAATATGCAAAATTTATCTTGTTTTTTTTTTTTGGCAAAAATTTTACAAAGTTGGGTTAATGTACTTGCCATGTCTTTCATTTCCTTATCAGTGGCAAACATCCTCCTTGCCGTTCAGATATTTGACATGCGTTAAGTTGAAGGGCGCGCCAAAGTTCAAGTTCGTCGTTTTTGGCAGGGCGAAAAGCTTGTTTTAATCTGCAGGTAAATAATTCAACTGTATTGCTTGTAAACAAGTTTAAGACAGCTTTATGAAGTGAGTAGGGAATACTCTGCAACATAAAATATCACAGTTTGGTTCTTTTGGTTCTTATACTTCGCAATTTATCTTACTTCGCCTGAATTTTTTTTGAAAGGGTTTCTTAGAATAAATGATTCGTTCTGAAATAGAAAATTGGCTAATTTTGGCGATCATGATTGTAATGTTTTGTAAAATACGTAAAAATTAAAAATGATTTCTACTTTGGAAACTCATTTTATCGAACGATAAACCGCACATTCAACCCCACTTGAATAAACATATTGTAATCAATTAAGGCAAAATTGCGACTGAAACTAATAGGTAGCACTCCTTAAACGCAAAATATCCAATTATAGCCCATCAATTGAGCGCCTAATAGAACAATTCAATCGAGTGCAAATGTTCCCATGACCAGACAAATTTACACTTGCAGACGTTTACGCCCAGCGACCACCAGCAGCAGCAGCAGTAGCCAAGTGCGTGAGAAAAGCTAAGGGGGGGAGTGGGAGGGAGAGTGCCGGGCCTGGGCACAGCCTCAGCGGGAGGATTCTCTTGACCAATAAATAAAAGGTACCCACGCTGGCAAGTCGAATGCGGGCGCGAATTTCGGCGGACTCGTATTACAAAAGGGTCAGTGCAGCAGCAGCTAAGGGATGATCCTTGATGCATTATTTGTTATTTGAATCACGTGACAAGTTGCCGGCAAGCCGAGGGGGTTGCTGGGAACCCGGCACAGAAATCATCCCACGGGATTCAATTTATGCGTGTTTGAATGTTTTTGATTGCGCGTTGCTAATTCAAATAAAATTCAACTTCGGCTCTGTTTGCTGTTGATGTTTTTGTTGTTGTTTTTGTTGTTGTTGTTGTGGTAAGCTGAGCTGCTTTGTGCTTTACTTCAAGCTCTATACACCAGCCCGTCGGTCTTGGTGGTGCTGCTGCTGCTGGTGGCGGTGGTGCAATTTCAACCTCATTACAAAACATTTGCTTTGTCCTCTGAACTTAACTTACGCCTTTTGCTGCGAGGGGTGCATCAATTTCAGTGACAGCTTGCGCCTGTTGGCATTAATAAAGTCACGAAAAACATTTGTATTCCTGTGCTCGGGGGATTTGTAATTAAACAAATTAAGCAACTGACTCAAGAGTCGCTCAAACCCCTCCAAATTTCGATATTTTTTTGGGCTGCAAAAAGCTGTAAAAATAGCTGCAATTGTCATGCTAATTATTACAAATGATTTCATATTTATATTTTATGTTAATTTTTCGGCTGTCAGCATCAAATTTTTATAGTCATAAGCTATGAAAATACCAGAAATGCCTTTCGTTCAATATAATCCAAAGCGGATATGTCGTAGTTGCAAGTGCCTTAAACTGCGATACCCTGTACTCATTTATTTCTTGATCATAATACATTTTTTAAAAAAGATAATTTACAGGCATCCATTGAAATCAAGGTATTTATTATAAGCCAAATATTTATTATCACATTAAATTACTTTTTTAACCTATTAAGTCGGAAATAAACCAAGGAACTTTCCAATTTCTAATACCCACCCGGCAATTGGTCTCTGACATATTTGCAAAGTTAAATTTGTGCATTAATATAGTTTAATAATTCGCCCCTTTAACCAAGTTAATCAGCACAGGGTATATTAAACCGATCCGATATCTATAGACATGCACCTGAAGCAAGCCCCCAGTTGCAGTTGCTGCTGAGAACTGTCTTTAGCTTGGCATCGAAAAACCATATAATTGATTTATGGCCAATGGATTGTTGGGCTGACTAAATTTAGAAGCGAGCGAACAACTAAAACAACTAATTTAGTGAGAGATGTGAGCTGTAAAGTTTTGTGTTCTTAAGTTTTGTCCCGTTCATGGGCATGATATGCTAGGAGCTCCCTCCCTCGCTCTCTCTTTCTCTTTTTTTCGGGTGGTTGCGCCCTACTGTACTGAACGTGTCCGTTTGTTTGTTTTTGTATTGTCTGCGGGGAAAGACAGGCGGGAAGCTGCCGCCTGGCAGGGCGCTGTCACAATTGACACTGACGATGCGGCAGGTACACGAGACGTGCCGTTAAGTTGTCAGTGAATACTGGATGGGAGAAACGGTGGCAGCGGGAAATTTTGGACGCGGCCTCTCCTCAACTAACGAAAGATTAATTGAACGTGCGCCATCGAGTTATTAATCTTGGCGAGCTTAGTTGGGACCAACATTGTTTCTAAAATATTGTGTGCACTCGTCTCGGTGTCAGCTAATGGGACCGCCACTTGAGCCACGATTTTGTTGCCCATCTGAATCACATGCAGCACATGCAGCGCATGCAGCTGCCCTGCTCCTTCTTTTTTACTTAATTTTTTTTAAAAGGTCTTCCCCTAATTTGTTTATGGCTCTGATAATGCAATTTTTTAGTCGCAGCGAGCCATGGGGCAGCCAGGGACGGGGGAACTGCAATACCATAAATATATCCGCTGATCTGGCGGGAGCAATTACCGGGTGAGCCATATTTTGTCACATTTCTTTATTTTTTCCTTCTCGGCATTGGGTGAAAGTTGAGGCTTTCTCATGGCTGCACATAACTCTGAAGTTGCACTGAAAATTATGGTGGGTGTAGTTCAGGGGCGAGGGGCGAAATCAATAATTATCAACTAGTGCAAAACATCAATAAAGATATATTTCTTGTTGCTGAAATCCTACCTACCGACCCTATTTAGTATACATATTTCAGCAACAACAGCTGAATGGATATACCCATATATGACTGCACTTCTGTGCCTGGTTACGATTAGGTCGTTTGTTGCAGACAGTAATACCCATAAAGACTATAGATGGCAGCATGCAATTCCCACTATGCTCTAAGCAAACATAAGAATACCATATCCCTAAGTCCTAAGCGCTCATGCGCTTCTTTATTTTTCTTTGGTATAACTACACGTGCAAATAAAGATAGAAAATTTCAATTGCCTTGGGATCACTTATATAACTTAAGTAATGTAGTTTATTTAATTTATATCATATTGTAACTTTTGAAAATATACGAGAGTATTACATTATCCGTATCACCTAATTTTCCAAGTGATAAGCTTTTATAAAGATTCACAAGAACGATTTGGACTGTGAACGAGTATTCCTTTTGTCAATTTGGTTTACGCCCAGACTCTCTTTCAGTGTATGTAGATATATACCATGAATAGAAATTTAGGATACTTGCAATGTACATATCTCAGCTAAGGGTTCTAGTCGGATAAACTCAAATAGATCACTATTGTGCGATCTTAAAATTGGTCTAGTCTTAACTCAAATTATTTGAATAATTCAATTAAAGAATAAATTAAAATATGTAAAAACTTCATCTAAAACCTGAAAAGATTTGCCAGTTTATGCATATGCCCACCCTGAGCGTTGTCTATTACGCATTGTGAGCACATGCCAAAGTTGCCACAAATATAGCGCAGCTGCTGTTCTATTTCAGAAGGTAGCGCAATTGAAAACATGACGCACACGCAAACGCCCCACTCCTCTGGCCAGACTTTGCCGAAAAGTAACGTTTCAGGCTTTTAAGTTGAAGCGCAGCACAAATGCAACACCTTGAGAAGGTAGAAGAAGCAGCAGATAGTCGAGTCACCACCAGCAGCAAAAGTTGTGGCACAACTGGTATGTCACGGGGGAAGTTTTCAATTTCTATGGAACACCTGGACTCAGTTGTGGAAGCGTCTAAGGTGCACGGCTAATGAGCTCAGTTAAAGGCGCAACTTTCTGTTTTGACGCAGTTATGTCTGCCAGCCAATGGGGCTATGCCAAGGGCAGGGACTGAGACAGAGACAGGAAAAGGGAGAAGAGAGAGAAGGGCCGGTTAAATCCATGTGTGTATTTCATGAGTAAACAACATAAAATCATATCAGCTCGGTTCGGTTTCCCTTTGCCAAATCCACAAAGAACACTTGCGTCATCCGCATTTCATAAAAATAAGAATTCAATTTGAAGAGCTCTCATGCAGGGGTTGCTAGAGGAAGTGCACACCTTGCCCCATTAGCATAACATTAACCTAGGCACATCGTGGCACCTAGGTACAATTTTTAAGTTCCCATCGCGCTATTGTGAACTTGTGACAATTATGGTAAACGCATGCAAATGACAATCGGAACATCATTTGAATATAGTCCAGAGCAAATGCAATGCGATCCACTTCCTTGGCCATGTTGAACCCTTTTGGCATGTTATGATTTTGTTCAACCGGATGCCAGAGCCTACATGCAAGTGTTATCCCAACTATTCGAGAATTATGCAAATGACATTTGACGTTGAGAGTATTAACCAAAATCGGGGATGTCCGAACACCTGGGCGGCGGAAGGAAACGAAAGCGAATCCCTACTAACGAGATCTTTCCCACAGTTGTCAGGGCTAATGGATAAGTGATCTTAGCACTATCCAGTTGATATTATATCAAAAATATGGAATATGGAATGAGATGAGAGTTCAATTTGTGGTATAAGAAATGAATTTGATATTCGATTGATCTCAGCAGCTTGACTCGCAAAGAAACCCGACTCAGACTTTTATTTTTCATTGGTTTTTTTTTTTTTTTTGAAAACAACTTTGTTTAACTATTCAAAATTAACATAGTATTGTAGTTAATTTCTCCCGAATAAATAAATCTTGTATTTAGGCCCTAGCTCTTAAATTTAAGGTAAATACCACGTACTTCGATGTACCAAAAGCCGCGAGATGAGACCCAGTGTGTTTTCAACAACTGGGACGGACTTGATCGATGTGGTGACTCCGCGTCATTCCCTGCTATCGGGGCGATTTAAGCAGAGCTTTGCCTACATAGCGCTGCAGGCGCGCATGCCGGGTATAATGCAGCAGGTTATCAATACGCTGCGATTTAGGGAGTATGATCTGGAGGATCTCTATGGCGAGGAGGTGCACAAGGATGTACGCATGATAATTGAGTCTATTGAGCGCTTAAAAGGGGAACTTCAACGCGATCGACAGTTTCAACTGTTCCATGGCAATGAGCCGGACAAGGCTGAGTGGAATGCGTTTCTATCGGAGCTGCCCCGCCCCAAACGATCGTTCTTTCGAGCCAGCTGGCTACATGCCGAGTGCTACCTGTACAGGCGCATCAGCTCGTTCTTTGAAAATAGCAGACATCTGCAGAATTTTGATTACTTTGCAGACCTGAAGAAGGAAGACTTGCAGATCAGTGGTCGTGCTATTCGGTGCCTTACTGAGGCCACGCGTGGGCTGAGCAAGGATTTTGAGTCCTTTAGCCAATTGATGCGCATCAATTTATGGAGCAATCATTATGAAATACAACTTAATGCCTTTATCTTTGATGCGCCTCAGGACCATAAGAATATCGACGTGCTGGCCCGAGTTGCGGATCTAGACAAGCGACTCCTGGTTGACGACAGTTTGCTAGTTTGGAACTGTCTGATGAAGGCAAAAGGCGAAAAGCAGATTATTGTAGATTACATTTGTGACAATGGCGGCTTTGAGCTGTTCACTGACTTGTTGTTCATCGAGTATCTGATCGACCATGAACTGGTTACCCAGGTGCGCATGCATGTTAAAGCCATACCCTGGTACATCTCCGATGTACTCCGACACGACATTGAATGGACCATTAAATATTTAAAGGACTACAACATTGAGATCATCTCCACGCTGGGCAAAAAGCTAGAACGTCTAATGAGCGAGAAGCGCATTGTTATAGCGCCTTTATCACATTTCTGGACGGGACCACAGTCCTATTTTGTTATGGTGGATTCCAATATCGAACTGTACAGGTTTCTTACTAAGGCGCAGCTGGCCATTTTCAAGGGGGATCTGAACTATCGCAAGCTGCTCGGCGACTACATCTGGGATTCGACAGAGGAGTTCATCACATGTCTGCGTGGCTTTCGGCCAACAAACATATGCGCCATGCGCAATGTTAAGTGCGAGGTAATCTGCGGGCTGCCCGAGGGTTGTGCCGATCATTTGCTTAAGGTCGATCCCACATGGATGATATCGGGCAGCTATGGCGTTATTCAGTACACCGACAGCTTGAAGTGCAAGTGCGATGGCCAGGATTCTGCCTGCTCTCTCACTCTGAAAACTTCGCCGCTGTGAGCCATGTTTCACTAGTGGACATTTACATATGTCCCGCCCCGGGCCACACACATAGCTGCTCCTTAGCGCCTTCACCTCAGTACGTCCTGCAATCAGCAGCCAACGCATTGACGTCTCATCGCCGGCAGTTAAAACTGCTGTATTTCTTTTTTGTTTATTTTTTTTTATTAAATTTACTTTGCAAACGCGTCCGCGACTGCTACTGCAGCTGGCCACAAGTCGAAAGGGGAGATTGGGGGCTGGGCTATGTCTTAATTTGCATTACGCTGCCAGCGTAGAAAACTCACAATGCCCAAAATAAATGAGCCCAAATTTGTCAGCGCACTTTGCCCAAATCAAACTGCATCGTTACGCCCACCAACTGCGCATGGAGGCAGGAATTTGTTCATTTTGGCTCCGTGCCACCTGCATTTCTCCGGCCTAAGCTAATCTAGACCTGGCCAGACCTGGCCGGGCCTGCCCAGCGGCCCGGCCAATTGGCGTGTGACTAATGCTGTTGGTTTTATTGATGTGGCGCACATGCGCAGCTATTTTTATGCGAGGAGCTGCCGGCGTAGAGAGTCTTTTTTTAGCCGACCAATTGAAAATGGAAAGTTGTGAAAATCAACATATGAAAGATGTGCGAAATTTAACTAATATGTGTAATTTATATGCCTTTACGATTGAAGTCAACAAAAAAGCTCATCTAAGTAAAAATGGTTCACTAATAATTATAAAAAACGTTGCATAAAAAAATCAAAATCTTAGTTTCGTCAGGTAGGGAAAAGCGCGAATAACTATTGAATGCAACTTTTAGTCTTTTATCCGATCGACTACAATGGAAAGTTCAATCGGTCAAACACAGGGTATTATTATATTTTTATTATTTATTTAATTGTTTTCCTCAGGTTTTATTTGCTATGTTTGTTGTTTATTGCTTAAACGGAACCAAACCAGACCACAACATTTTAATTCAACTTAAAATCCATTCAAAACTTTATATAATAAAAGACGCCATTTGCTATTTTATGTTTAGAATCAAATAATAATATTGCAAAATGATTTGATCTACTTAATGTATATTTTTATACATTTATTGAAACATTCTGGCTAACTTTATGCATTTTCCATTTGATTTCAATTTTATTAACAAGCTAACAATTTACGTTGTATGATGCGTCCTTTCTTTTAAAAACAAAAAAGAATGATAGTTTAAGCCATTTCCCTTATGCGTCCCTTTTTGTGAATTAATCTTAAAGTTGTTAGAACTCTGTTTCCCATGAAGCACTCGCTTGGTTGGTCAGTTCATTCAATAAGTGCATATATTACCTTAATAATCATTGGGATGTTGCTCCCTGTTTCCCAGACTTGCAGTCGAATAGACCTCAATGCAAATCTTGGCAGTAGGTGTTCTTACTTTGTTCTCTAAATTATTGCATGCAGCGCTTTCTCAGTAATTCGAAACCATATCAAAGTAGTATCAAAAATTAATTGTTAAAATCATTCTTGAAATGACTTCGAATCAAATTCTTTTAGTTGATTGAACTTTAACCAAAGAAACGCTCGCAAATGAACAGCGCACAATAGCCAAAATAAATATAGGAAATAAAATCAAAATTGGAGCATTAAGTGTGCATTCCCACAACTATTAAGATGGCAAATTGAAAAGAGCAACATGAGGCCACGAAGTCTCGAAAAATTCCAATGCACATCAATCTCAGGTACAGTGCCCATTCCCGAAGTCTGATACGTAATCAAATTGAAACACTGGAAACGGGCCGCTAAATTATTTTCCCACCGAAAAAGCCACCCCAAAGGCGATCTACTGCGCAGCTGCAGGATAGGCAAAAGAAAAAATACATACACACACAAAAACAATTCCAGAAGCTGCTTTCCTCCATATGCTGAGCGCTCAATCAAAGCAACTGGCTGCTGTCCACTTGGTTTTTATTTTGGGGTGGGGATTGCTTCCCATTGCCATTGCAGATGCGCCCTTGAAAACAGCACCCGACACCCGGCACTCGACACCCGGCAACCTAACACACCAGTTACCCGTCTCCAGTCGGCACCATTCACCGGTTCGCAGTTACCAGGTTGCTGTTGCCGTTGCTGGTGCTTTTGTCTGATTTGGCCCGGGGAGGGTTGCAAACTTTGTGAGCGTTCCCAGGCCAGGTGATGATTATAGTTGCGATTTCCACCACCCATTCAATGGCTTTAAGCTGTGCGCAGGTATGCGCTATCAAACCAGCTGTCAAACGAGATTTAACAACACTCAACTGTGGGTTGGTTCTTTGATTCGCATTGGGTGGAGTTCCTGCAGTTTTTTTTTTTTATGCAAGGTGCGAGAGCTTCGCAATTTGTTTGCCCTGCCTAACATTGGGTAAACAGTGAAAATTATATCAGTCGCTTTGCACCCCAAATATTCTTTCAAGTATGAAATAATTATGTGGGCAAATATGATTAGATCATGTGACGCATGCGTACATGCAACTAGAAACTGGCGCGGTGCAGAAATTCCAGAAGCTAGCTCGGCTAAATGTAATGTGAATTTTATTGAAGTGACCATGGAAGAAGTTGTAGTCACTCCACCAAGAACTTATATTACTTTGAAATTACATTCCCTAAATAGGTATGACTGTTATGATATATGTTGGAAGACACAGTTGGTATAATCCCTTTTTAAGAAGAATTGAGCAAATAATTGTTGAGCAAATAATTTGTCAAACACAGAGGGGATTTTGTGACTTTTCCGCGCACATTGGCTCACTGTTGCTTGGGTCGGCGGATGACTTTGCAGATAGTTCGATATGGAGCCAATAAATGCTTTTATGTAAAGCACACTTGGCAACAATCAGACGGTCAGTCAGACATTAGGCAAATGTTGTGCCTAAATTATGATCAAATTAAATGAAACTAACTGTGAGCGCAATTACGAGTATCTCCGCTTGAGGAGCTTACCAAGCGGCAGTTGACATAAACCTTTCGCCAAATGCCGCCAAAGGCGTTGACAAGTGGCCCAGAGGCAACTGGCAAAAGGTCAGCATTTCGTAATCAGCTTTAGTGGCTGCACTGTGTGTGCACACGTAACCATAAGCATGGCTCCATGTCATCCTATATTTCACCAAGACACCCAAACGGGGACTCTGAGGCTGGGCCAGGCGAATGGCACTGTCAACTAGCCAGCGCAACGATTGTGGAACAACAGCCAAAAACACATTCGCCAAGTGACCAAGTGGCCGATCTGGGACGTCGACGTCGACAACAACAACGGCTATAACAGAAACAACTAGCAGTAGTAGATATGTATGTTCAAACGACTATCACCCGCTAAAATTCAAATTCAAATTTGCTTAAAACCCAACGCCCCGGCCACCGACCACTGACCACCGACCCAAAGACCACTAAAATCAGCCATCGACTTGGGCGCTAATCTGGTTTTAAACTGCGCCAGCGACCGCTGCTACGATGCGGGTGTGTACCACGCAGCCTGGGCTCGAGCTCTGGCTCGAGCCAGACCCAACTGTAACCCAGGCAGCCTGCACAGCCTGGGCTCTGGCCCGCTAGACAGACAGACAGACAGATAGTCGCCGTTTGGCCATCGCTGACCAACCAGTTTGTGGCACCCGCACCTGGCCAACTGCCCAACTTACGACTCACTGCGAACTGCCCCAGCCCAGACAGCTGCCTGTCCCGCCCGCCCTGCTCTGCCCTGCCCTGCCCTGCCTCGCCCTGCCCTGTACAGTTCAGTCCTAGTTTTGTGTCCAGCGCTGTTTAGTAAGTAGAAATGCGTTGCTTACAATTATATTGACAACTTTTAATTTCCTTTCTAAAACATAATTAGCAATTATTTGTGTGCATAGCTTAATCTGAAAACAAATGTCTTCCTAATCCTATTGTGGTTTTCAAAAATTCTCTGCGCTTTAACCTAGATCTTACTCCGGTATTTATTTAAGTTTTTTACATTGAAGCATAATTCTAAATAGCTCGTATTATCTATTCTGATTATTCTGTATAGTATTTAATATAGTTCTTATCTGGGACCAACTTCCTCATTATAAGACCATACTTTGCCTGAACCTTAGTTTGTAATAGATTTTTAAAATGTTATTAAGATATTTAAGCTATTTGAGGCCGTTATACTTACAACTTAATTAATTTCATAGAATAATATGGATTTGTTTTGATTTCTGTTTGGTTGTTTTTGTGCAGTGGATTTCGATTAGCTTTGTTTCGTTGTAAGAAATAAATATAAAGTGAAGGATACATCCGGTTCGCACCAAACCTGTTTGTAGCTTGTATTACATTCTGAAGATTATACACTTTTTGAGCCCAGCTACTAAATTATTTATTTTATATTTTAAATAATATAAAAGTCGCCCTCACAGTACCCGGATCCAAGCCCAAGAAATTTTATTGAGTATACTCAGGATGATGTTGTTTAGTTTGTTATGGCAATTGAATGATTAGTCAAGTGCTGATCATCGCTGGAGCCAGTGAAATTTTACTCGAACAACATTAAATTCGGCTGGTTATTAGACAGCGTCATGAAGATTAGAAAATATGGGTTTATGTGCTAGCCCGCTTGGTTGTTAGCTGAATTAAAAAGGCGTGGAGTGCAGCTAAAAGCACTTTAGGAATGCAATAGATTGAGGTTTATTAGTCATATACCTGAATACAGATGCAGTAATTGCGCTTTAATTGGCTTTTGGCATTGAATACATGAGTGCGTGCGGCATGTGAATATAAATGAATATTTAATTATAATAATAATATGCGCATGTTTTTTGTTTACTCAAAAACAGGTTGTGAAATTTACTCTGCACTCCCTATACATTAACACAGAGGCAGACATAGACACAGACACACACACACACAGCCGTCTGTTCAAATAGTGCGCTGTAATTCGTCTACTCAACGCCAGAGTGTGATTTGCTGATTAGCAACACTCTTTCCGTCATATTCTAAAAGCCCAATTACAACGGCCAACAAGACAAACGGCCAAACAGTTGGGGCCGACGCTTACTTTTGCTTTTATTCTGTTTTTTTTTTTTTTCTTTTTTGGCCACGTGAACACCCTTATGCAAAACAAATCAAAACAGCATTAAAAGTCGTAAATCTGTGCCAAAAAACGTTGCCGGCCACAAACCAAAATCAAGCCGAACCATTCGACCAGCTCCTTAACAACAAAGGCGGCTGCAGCATGTGCCAAAGCCAAAGCCAAAGACCAGGCCCAAGCCTCTTGGCCACAGAGACACTTGGCCACTCGAGACGCCGGCGTCGTCGGCGGCTGCAGTGATAAAATATGAGACACTGGGGCAGACAGTCAAATGGGTAGCGGCAACGTGGAGCGGGGGCAAGAGAGGATGAGGTAGGGGTACTATGCTATGATTCAGTGTGCAAAACAGGCAAACAAAAATATGTATAGAGACTCATATATAACTGGCCAGACTTAGACGTCCAGGAGGTTGTTGGTTATTACTGCATTACCAATGACAGCAGCCACCGCCGAGACGCCACCTAGCGGCCGAAATGAGGCAACTAACCTACCTGTCAGCCCAACATATGAAAAGCCTTCGATTTCGCCGGCAACTCATATGCAGATACTCATATATATATATATATATATGTATACATTTGTGGGTTCCTTATGCGGGGATTGGCAAAATGTCATGCGTTGTTGTTGTTGCCGGTTTCAATATTTATTTATTTGTGAGTGCCTCGCGCAATGCATTAAAGGCAAT